CTAAAATATAATAATCCGTAAAAAAATAAAAATCCAACGAATGAGGAGTTATCCCACGTAATTATTTATTATCTATTATAATCATCCTTAATTATCATCATGGGGTATAATTTCTACATGAAGAATTATATTAACATACTCGTGTGATATGTTTGTTAATAATACTCTGTAAATTAATCTAGACAGGTGATTCAATTGTCTATTATACCAGGTTGAATGAGTTCTAAGCCTCATAACAACCATAATTAGAATCTATTAGAGAGTCTGTTAGCCTTATAGAATTAATTACCTTGAGTCTTATACACCTATAATACTCTATAATTGAACACATAGGTTATAATTTCCTATAACTTCAGCGGGTTGGTAGTTGTGTTTCAGTAGGGTTGTAACTGTGTTTGGTATGTATGTGTGTATGTATGTATGTGTGTATGTATGTATGTATGTATGTATGTATGTATGTATGTATGTATGTATGTATGTATGTATGTGCAGTATGTATGTATTAAAAGACTGTGGATATACCTGTGTGTGTTTGGTCCAGGGAGAGTGGACTTCATACCTGCCGACCACTTTAATAATTACAGGTGATTTTTTTTTTAATTATTTGTGTTCTGACGTCATTAATCATTGGTGTTTTGACGTCATTAATCATTTGTGTTCTGACGTCATTAATCATTAGTGTTCTGACGACGTCATTAATCATTAGTGTTCTGACGTCATTAATCATTAGTGTTCTGACGACGTCATTAATCATTAGTGTTCTGACGTCATTAATCATTTGTGTTCTGACGTCATTAATCATTAGTGTTCTGACTTCATTAATCATTTGTGTTCTGACGTCATTAATCATTAGTGTTCATCTTAATTGCATACCTTGAATTTACCTGAGAGATTACCTTACGTCAGTAGATCCAGGTGTATGTATTGTTCCATTGTACCATTGTGGATGTTATTGTGCCATTATCTATAACACTCCACCATTACTCCATTATCTGAGGGTTGGCGACCACAGTCCTCCACTCAGAGTCCCAGTTTATAATTTTATTCATCCATCTCAGTCTCTACCTTCACCTGGCCCTCCTACCCCCCTCCCCCCCATCTCAGTCTCTACCTTCACCTGGCCCTCCTACCCCCCTCCCCCCCATCTCAGTCTCTACCTTCACCTGGCCCTCCTACCCCCCCATCCAGTCTCTCACAGCTTCACTGGCCTCCTGCCCCCCATCCCAGTCTCTACCTTCACCTGGCCTCTACCCCCCCCCATCCCAGTCTCTACCTTCACCACAGCCTCCTGCCCCCCCATCCCAGTCTCTACAGCCACCCCTGGCCCTCCTCCCCCCCCATCCCAGTCTCTACAGCCACCGGCCTCCCTACCCCCCCATCCCAGTCTCTACCTTCACCTGGCCACTCCCTACCCCCCCCCATCCCAGTCTCTACCTTCACCTGGCCTCCTACCCCCCATCCCAGTCTCTGCCTTCACCTGGCCTCCCTACCCCCCCCCATCCCAGTCTCTACCTTCACCTGGCCCCCTCCCCCATCCCAGTCTCTACCTTCACCTGGCCTCCCCTGCCCCCCCATCCCAGTCTCACCTTCACCTGGCCTCTACCCCCCCCCATCCCAGTCTCTACCTTCACCTGGCCCTCCCTACCCCCCATCCCAGTCTCTACCTTCACCTGGCCTCACCCCCCCATCCCAGTCTCTACCTTCACTAGCCTCCTACCCCCCCATCCCAGTCTCTGCCTTCACCTGGCCTCCTACCCCCCCCATCCCAGTCTCTACCTTCACCTGGCCCTCCTCCCCCCCCATCCCAGTCTCTTACCTTCACCTGACCCTCCCTACCCCCCCATCCCAGTCTCTACCTTCACCTGGCCTCTACCCCCCGTCCCAGTCTCTACCTTCACCTGGCCTCCTACCCCCCATCCCAGTCTCTACCTTCACCTGTGCCCTCCTACCCCCCATCCCAAGTCTCTACCTTCACCTGGCCTCCTACCCCCCCCCATCCAGTCTCTACCTTCACCTGGACCTCCTACCCCCCCATCCCAGTCTCTACCTTCACCTGGCCCCTCCCCCCCCATCCCAGTCTCTGCCTTCACCTGGCCCTCCCCCCCCATCCGTAAATTCCAAAATATTTCTCTTGATTTTTTTTCTCCAATCTTAGCATAAAATTTTCCATTGTTCTCTACAGTATTTTTTTTCTATTAGGATTAAAACAGAGACCAAAACACGGTATAAAATTTATTCGTAAAAATCATAGTTGCCCAGCTGGCGCACTCAGTATATAAAATGTATTTACAAGCTATACACACACACAAAGTTTATTCAATGGACAAAGTTTTACGAAGAGAAGCCTTATAACCACTGTTGCTTCCTGGGGTATTTATATATAAATCACTATATCATTGAGATCGAAAAATAATGCCGAAATTTGAATGGAAAAAAAAAATTTAAAATCGGGGTATTCATTTTTGGATCACCCTGTATGTTTAGGTCTATAGACATTTATATTGATTTATATATTAATTTACATAGGTTTAATTTTAATAGAACAATAAATGGCATGTTGTTTTTTTTTCTTGTTTTTAGAATTGTTTTTTTTTGTTTCGTCACAATTTTAATATAATAAAAATTTACATAGTTTGATTCGTATGTTTTGTTTTTACATAAATAAATAATGTTTAAGGTAATGTTTTTAGTCCTTGTGTTTATTCGTCAATTTAATTTATTCCATTAAGTTAAAATGTATATATTTCTGGAATATTAGAGAGAGAGAGACTAAACACTCACTGTAATGTAAAAATCAAACAGAAAAATATATATACTAATCTTCTTCAGAATATCAACAAAGACTTATAAATGTTCCTATCATATATCCAGAGAAATATAATAATTTATCTTAACAAATATACCAATTTTTTTTTCCACAGTAATTTTAATAAGATATACCAAGTCTATATCTTCCTTCTATAGAACATTTAGACAATAGATAGACCATATTATAAAGTATATCTTGAAATATTGATATACCAAATATACCTAATCTTGAAATATACCAATAACCATTTTGAATAGTTGGTATAAAGAGAATATACAATTAAAATAAACCAATAAAGCATTTATTTAAGAGTAGATATACCAAGGATATCTACCTAGACACAGCAAGGTATTCTGACTAACACACCAAAAAATTGAACCAAATTCCAATAAATTAAGAGTAAAAAAAAAAAAAAATTCCCCTAAACTCCTAAATTCAACACGAGACAGCAGACAGTGGTACGAATATTTATCACAAGAAATATGTAACAATGATATAAAATTAAACAAGAAATGGGAGAAGGAAATAAAACAGGAATAATATAAGAGATGCTGACAGTTAATACATATAAAATTAGGAGACATTTTATTTACACTTGATTATTACGTTAAAAAATAGTGATAGGACATACACTCATACTGGTTATTGAAGAGTATTCACGGAGGCACACGCATTGACTAAATTGCCCTGCTTTTAGGACACAAATTACTGAGGTTCTTTTCATAGTTTATCCCAAAAAACTGTATTGTGATTGGTCTAAAACGTGCCAGGGGTAACCTAATCTGTTGACCAATTACAAGTTTGATTTTTTTTTTTGGGGGGGAGGTGGATTTTTATTGGTCATTTACAAGGTAGTTTTTTTCTATGGTGGATTTCTATTGGTCAGCTTTTTTTCTTACAGTGGCCCTTCTCTAATTGGAAGAGAATAGGTACTCAGAGATAGCCAATTAAAAACCTCGATTTATTATTACGGTTATCCCCCATTGGTTCACGTCGCGACCGTCACAAACACGAGTTTTCATCCATCATCCCATGCTGTATTCTGATTGGTCATTTTGATTTCAGCCTCGACCAATCAAAAGCAGCGTCTAGGGGAGCACAACCAATACATGGTGAGCACGACACCCACGACAATCTGGACTGGCTTCACCACAACGGTCTATTTTGAGGTAGACAGTCGGTGAAGGGAGGGTAGGGAGGGGTAAGGGAGGGGAGAGGGAGGGAGGATAGTGAGGGTAAGGGAGGGCAGGGAGGGGATAGGGAGGGAGAATACGGACGGAAGGAAGGGAAGGGTAGGGTAGCTTGGTGGTGTTTTGGGGGAAACATTAGTACAGGTCAGGGGAAAAAAAACTTTGTACATGGTGAGGGTGGTGGGGAAATAATGAAGCGTGGCTGTGGGAACAACAACAACAACTACAACAACAACAACAACAACAAGTAAGGTACAATAATTTCGATCCTTGAGACACAGGATTTTTACGACTCAAAAAGTTCATGTTTATATATATATAGTTATTTGGTCATTTGTTGTCGAGCGTTTGTTTGTGTTGCCCATCGTTTGTTTATGTTATGGAACGTTTGTTTATAATGCGGCACGTTTATTTATGTTGTGGAACGTTTATTATGTTGTGGAACGTTTGTTTACAATGCGGAATGTTTATTTATGTTGTGGAACGTTTATTATGTTGTGGAACGTTTGTTTACAATGCGGAATGTTTATTTATGTTGTGGAACGTTTATTATGTTGTGGAACGTTTGTTTACAATGCGGAATGTTTATTTATGTTGTGGAACGTTTATTATGTTGTGGAACGTTTGTTTACAATGCGGAATGTTTATTTATGTTGTGGAACGTTTATTATGTTGTGGAACGTTTGTGTATTTTATCAAGAGCTTCTGTATCTAATTGAACGCTTGTTGACATTCTTTTGTTTTGTTTATACTCGTCTGTTTATCACGTGTTGGTGATGTATTTGAACAGTATTACCAACACTCTCTCGACACACAATATCAGGGCCTCAGTGTTACCAACAGGTGTCATCTAGAATACCTTAAACCTTAATTTTTAGGTACCCTGAAATGCTGACTTAGGTACACCTTAAGAACATGATTACCTCACCTAAAAAACATAGTTGTTGTTTTGATTTTTTTTTCATCTATGATTCTGATATTTTTTACTAATATTTTTCACTCTAATATTTTTCACTCTAATATTCTTCACTCGGATATTTTTCACCCTGACATATTTCACTCTGACATTTTTCATCTTTTGATCGAGAGTTTATGTAATTAGATCACACTTACTGATCATGATTTATGCCCATTAAGTCATGTCACGTTACATCTGGGTTTATCTTTACTCTTCAGATCGCTATGTGACGCTTCATGTGGAGGCTGAGGTGGTCAGAGCGGGAGAAGGCTCGTTCACACAGCCGACACTGGAAGGGTCTGTCACCTGTGTGCTTCCTGTAGTGCCTCGTGAGCTCGTCTGATCGTGCAAACTTCCAGCCACAACCCTTCCAGGAGCACAGGTAAGGCTTCTCCCCCGTGTGTGTCCTCAGGTGAGCTTTTAAATGAGAGGATTTGATGTAGGTTTTGGTACAGCCTTCATATGGACAGCTGTGTATGGTGACTTTCCTCTTGGCCCGTCGCCTGCGTGGTTTGGGTGGCGGTGGGGGCGGCTCACTGAGGGGCATGGAGAGGGGCGGCATGGGTGTGCTGTACTGGTAGCTACTGACACTCATCTGGTTACTCGGAATACCCCAGGACGGCGGCGCCCCTGAGCTGTACATGGAGTAAGAGGGAGTGTAGTAGGAGGGGCTGTAGTCCGTCACGTAGGATGTTGATGTGTACTGAGACGGGGTGGACGCCACTGGACAGTCCTTACAGGAGTAGACAGATCCGTCCACTGCCCAGTTGACAACACTCCCGCCACTCATGTCCGGTTGTGGCTCGTACCGTCCCTCAGGTTTGATGGGCACCGTCGTGTAGGTCCCGTACTTGGGGTCCGTACACTGGAACTTGGGGTCTAAAGTGGCGTACTTGGGATCGGGAACTAGGAAGTCAGACTCCGGTATCGTGTACTTGGGGTCGTGGGAGGTCGTGGTGGTGTACTTGAGATCTTGTACCGGGTACTTAGGGTCAGCCGACACGAATTTAGGGTCAACACACTGGTACTTGGGGTCCTGTAGGGTGAACTTGGTGTCCGTACACTGGTACTTGGGGTCCGGCGCCTGGTACTTCTGGTCTAAACACTGGTACTTGGGGTCGAGGTACTGGTGGTAGCTGGACGCCTGGACAGGAGGTACCGCAGTGGACGCCGTGACTGTGCTGGAGGGGCAGGCGACGGAGGCAACCACGGTGACGGGGGAGGGCAGCGGGGGGCTGGTGGGCACGACCTGGGGGGCCTCAGTCAGTCTGGGCGGCTGGTCAGGCTGCTGTGACGGAGGTGCTGAAGTAGGCGGGGGAGGAGGAGGCGGCGGCGGCTGTGTGGCCTGTGGCTGTGAGGGAGACGCTGCCTGCTGGGGGGCCTTATCCTTAACATCATACCCCGCCACGAAGGCTGGGTGCTGTGACTGCTGTTGTTGTTGAGGCGGCGGCTGCTGTTGCTGCGGCAGTGTGGGGGACTGTAGAGGAGGAGGCTGTGGCGTGGGGGGGTTACTGAGGGAGGTGGCCGCTGACGAAGACAACACAGAACCCGGAGAACCTTTGGGTAATGCCTTAGGTTTGTGTTCCTCATGAAGGCGTGGGGGCGGAGGGGAGGTTACCAGGTGGTGGGTGGGCGTGGGCGTAAAGGTGTGGGTGTACTGGTAGGTGGCGTGGGGTGGGGGTGCTCCCAGGGGCCCGGCCACAGGACTACCCTCCGTCATCAACAGCGTTTCAATATCCTGCCACATCTGTAACAACAAGATAACAACAACATTAACACACAAGAGAAGCTAATAACACAATATATTATACATACAACAACTCTAACCATTCCTAACTGCCAATCCCTCTCTCATTCTATCATTTCTCCCTACTTCCCTTCCTCCCTCCCTCCCATATTCTCTCCTTCCTTCCCTCTCTTCCTTCTTTACCTTTCCATCTCCCCCACATCACATCGAGAGCTTTGTTGGTTTCTTGTTTTTGTTTCTTGTTCCCGACAGGTAGAGGATAACAACGACAGGACGTGAACCCCGCCCCTTCCGGTCGACCCTCTGCCAGATTTTTACCTACCTTGTGCTAGTGACTCTCTCTCTCTCTCTCTCTCTCTCTCTCACACACAGAGGAAGACCAAGAGAGACACGCCTCTGATCCGCTAGTAGTCAGCCAGGCATGTCACCGCTTGACTGTGTGGTGGTGGTGATAATAGTGGTGTAATAGCGGTGGTTGTGGTAGTATGGGGTGGTAGTAATGGTGGTGGTGGTGGTGGTGGTATTTGTGGTTGTGGTAGTGGTGGTAGTAATAGTGGTGGTAGTTGTGGTTGTGATGGTGGTAGTTGTAATAGTGGTGGTGGTAGTAGTGGTGGTAGTGGTAATAGTCGTAGTTGTGGTAGTAACAATAAGCTAGTAATACACACACATACACACACAAACACACACACACACACACACACACACACACACACACACACATCAACAGCCTCTGAGAATACGAGAAATATGTGGGGGTCGACCCGGGGAACATTAGGCTGAGGGTCGAGTATGTGGCCGCTGTGCCGTGGGTGTGTGTGGGTGGTCGCTCTGCCCACTCACCTGAGATAATGGCGAGGAGGGTAAGAGGGGGGCTAGGAGAGGGGATAGGAGGGAGAGAAGTTGAGGTTAGGAAGGAGGGTAGGGAGGGTAGGCTAGGAGGTAAGGAGGGAGAGAAGGAGGGAAGAAAGGAGGGTAGTTTGAAAAGGTGGAATGGAGGGGAAAAAGAGGAGAGAGTTAATACTATTGTCGATGTAAGGACGAGGAGGAGGGGGGAGGAGGGTGAAGGGAGGGGGGAGGAGGAGGAGGTAGTGGGAGGAACTGGAAAAGACAGATTGGGGAAGGAAGATAAAGCTTTTCCAGGAGGATGAGGACGAAGAGTAATTCCCTCTGTCAGGAGAGTCGGGGTGACGTGGAGGACGGAGGAGGAGGAAGAGGAAGGCGAGGAGGAGAAGAAGAGAATGAGGAGAAGGAGGAGGAGGAGGGGGAAGACAAGGAGGAGCGGAGAGAGGCGCGCGGAAGTCGTGACTCGTGAGGGAGGGAGTGAGTGTGTGGGAAGGATGACTCGTGTGTGTGGTCGCTGGCACGTGCCGAGTCCCTGAGGCAGCAAGGCGCGTGGCGAGGAAGGAGGGAGGGAGGTGTGGCGAGGGAGGAGGGAGGGAGGTGTGGCGTGTGGCGAGGAAGGAGGGAGAGAGGTATGACGTGTGGCGAGGAAGGAGCGTGAGTGAGGGAGGTATTCATCCAGACAGAAGTTCCCACCAACGACCTTGTCACATTGTCCTCAGGAGTCAAACACGTCTACCACTAAACCTCACAGTGCTTCCTCTACTCACCCCTCATACCCCTCACCCCCATACACCCCCCCTCTTTACATACACCCCTCTGCCACCCCCTCACCCCCATGCCCCTCACCCCCCTCCATACACCCCCCTCACCCCTCCATACACCCCCCTCACCCCTCCATACACCCCTCACCCCTCCATACCTCCCACACCCTCCATACACCCCCTCCACCCCTCCACACCTCCCTCACCCCTCCATACACCCCTTCACCCCCCTCCTTTCCCCCTCACCCCTCCATACCCCTCACCCCTCCACCCACACCCCCTCACCCCTCCCATACACCTCCCCTCACCCCTCCCATACCCCTCACCCCCTCCACTTCCCACCTCCCCTCACCCCTCCCATACACCCCTCACCTCCTTACCCCCTCACCCCCTCCACCACACCCCCCTCACCCTCCATACACCCCCTCACCTCCATACACCACCTCACCCCTCCTTACACCTCCCCCTCACCTCCATACCACCTCCCCTCACCCCTCCACCCATACACCCCTCACCCCTCCATGCCCCTCACCCTCCCACACCCCCTCCCCACCCCTCATACACCTCCCACACCCCTCCATACCCCCCTCACCCCTCCATACCCCCCTCTTTCCCTCCATACACCCCCTCACCCCTCCCTCCCACCCCTCACCCCTCCACCCACACCCCCCTCCCCACCCCTCCACCCACACCTCCCTCACCCCTCCCACCTCCCCTCCACCCCCTCCACTTACCCACCCCTCCCCTCCATACACCTCCCTCACCCCTCCATACACCTCCCTCACCCCTCCATACACCCCCTCACCCCTCCCACCTCTTTTATCACTTCTTAAACTTATTAGTATCCTCTGTTTTCTTATTTATTTATTATTAGTTTAGTTTGTATAATAATTCCTTACGTTGTTTTAGATGTCTTGTCGTCTTGTTTTTATTCATTGTTTTGTCGTTTTATTCCCACACATCTTTATCCCTTTTGCATCTTTCTTGTTTGTATTTTTAATGGTGTTTTTTATCGTCTGTTCTGCCATACGAACATTCATTTGGTCTTTGATATCCCCTCCACTGACTTGGCTGTTTACATATTATCTCTTTCTTCAATTAAAATATCCATCTTGTTATATTTTGGGGGTATTAAATCGGTTATATATATCGTCGTATCCCCTTCGTTATGGCGTTCGAGTTTGCATTCAGAAATATATTAATTATTCTATATTTATATTTTATTTATATATTTTTAATTATTATAAAATCCTAATATTTTTATTATTATTTTGTCTTTTATCAAATAGTTTTATAGACAGTTTCTTGGTAAATAAAGAAGAGTTAAACCTTTCTTGAATGGGCTCAGAAGACCTCCCACCTCAGAGAAGAAACTAGGGATCTTTGGTGTAAACGTCTTCAATATAAACTAACTTTTTGGCGGGAAATTCTTAAAAAAAATCAATTTATATACACCCTTCCTTCTCTTCTATATAAACTAGTCCTTGGAGAACAGATACACATACAAACTACATTCAGAATACTTTTTTTCCCCACGAATAAATATACTTTGGATTACTACTTTCACCGCGTTGAAATCTCCAATAACTTTTCTGTACCTTTACCTGGATGTCCTCACCTGTCACAAACTTTCCCATATCTTTGTCTATTATTCATAACAAAACAACTTTCAGGCAACTTTTTATTAACTTTGCAGAGTACTTTTGTTGTCGTTAATCTTGTTGAAATGTATTGTTACTCTCTGAGGTGTTTCTTGTACTCAGCTGTTTTTAACCCTTTGAGTACGATGAATTAACCCACTTGATTACGAGATGAAACAACTTGAGTACGATGATTTTAATCCCTTGAGTATGAGATGAAAATCCTTGAGTACGATGAGTTAACCCTTTGATTACGATGAGTTAACCCTTTGATTACTATGCTTAACCCTTTGAGTACGATCACATTAACCTTCTTTAGTACGTTGACTTAATTAACCCCTTAAGCTACCACTATCACCACCACCACCACTACCACCACCATAATAATAATCACTACCACCACTACCACAACAACCACTACCACCACCACTCCCACCACCACAATAATAATCACCACTACCACAATAACCACTACTACCACCATTACCACCACGGTGTCAAAAGCCAGAGAGAGAGGTTGTCTGAAACACTTAAAATATGAGAGTTAAACAGGAAGTTATTTGTACAGTAAATGACACACAGGATCCCTTTAATTACGGTGTTTACTTAACCACACTACACCACATACCACACTACACCACATACCACACTACACCACATACCACACTACACCACATACCACACTACACCACATACCACACTAAACCACATACCACACTACACCACATACCACACTACACCACATACACACATATACACTATCTATCTATTAAGCAAACTATCCATCCATCTTTCCATCCAACCATCTGTCTATCTGTCTGTCCGTCTGTCTGTCTGTCAATACAAATCTTTTATCCAATTGTCCCAGAGATTTCGAGTTTAAACCCCCAGAGTGTTAACGAGACAATAGACCCTGAAGGCTGGCCAACAATGGGGGCATCAGTCAGCCTCAGTCTCAGCATCAGTCAGCCTCAGTCAGCATTAGTCAGCCTCAGTCATCCCCAGTCAGCCCCAGTCAGCCTCAGTCAGCACTAGTCAGCATCACAGGAAGTTAAATTACACTGCGTTATTCTAGCATGATTCACAACACGTTAAGATTAATTTAATGGTGAGAGTGAGGGGGAGTGGATGTTACCTGTCCTCTGTCACACCTGTCTGTTATACCTGTCATTACCTGTACCTCTGTCACACCTGTCTGTTATACCTGTCATTACCTGTCCTGTCACACCTGTCTGTTATACCTGTCATTACCTGTACCTCTGTCACACCTGTCATATGTCTGTTATACCTGTCATGCCTCTCACACGTGTTACACATATCATAACACGCCATCATGCCCTAAATTTCCACGATGATAAACACACTCTAACGCACTCTAACACACTCTAATACACTCTAACACACTCTAATACACTCTAACGCACTCTAATACACTCTAACGTTACAGGGGAGTATAACAGGAAGTTGGTCTTAGTGTTAGTTGGTAGCCACGCCTGCCGAAGAGTTAGACCGAGCAAGCGTTGGGATGAGGACCTTCCTGAGGGTGGGGGGTTTGAGGCGTAGGATATCACGGTAGATTTAGGATTTTAGGATGTATGTTTAATGGAGGAGGGATGGGGAGGATGATGGGTAGGATTTGTTGATTGATATGATATCCTTTAAGAAATTTGGTTTATTAAAGGTAGTAATTTACCTGTTAGTTAATTGGATGCCCTAGCTTATGTTACCACCATCACTACATTCACAACAATCACAA